CTCCTAGCTATGCTATGTAATCTAAATATACAATAATTCCCCCAGCCTCCAGACTAAAATGCTCTAAAATGATCGACAACCCAAGCGGTGAACCGTAACTTACCAATGTTTCGGATTTTTATGCTGCGGTTGTTTGCTATACGTGGTAATCCTATTACTGTATGACGCGCAAATTCCGCTTCCACATGGACGACATTTTGTCTATCCATACAATTCGCAGCTATTCCTCAAGGATAGTCCTCGAGATCAATTGCTGCTCGAGTCCACCAAAAAACCACCACCTTTAACCTTTACGAACCACATACTACATCGCTCCCGGCCCCACACATGCTCCAACAATGGCTTCGCCAAAGCCCCGGAGCTGCCCGCTTTCTTAGAGGCTCATGTTGTCGCGGCCCCCAGTCTGGCTCCCTCCGGCATAGCCCTCTACCAACCGCATCTCATCGTTGCATTGGCTCGCTACAGACATCAACTACAGAATCCAAGGAACGCATACCATTACGGAAGCAGCTGAAACAAGACGCAAAAGCTCTGAAAGCTCAGAAGAGACAGAGGAGGGAAAGCGAGGAAGCTTCCCGGCAAAAGTGGGAGTTGACTGTTGGCATTGAGATTCATGCCCAGTTGAACACTGAGACCAAGCTATTTTCAAGTGCGTCGAGACTATGTCCCTATCCTCCCTGGCCCAAAATGCACAATCTCATCTGTGTTGAGCAGGAGCATCCACGTCGAACACCGACACCCCCAACTCAAATGTCGCGCTCTTTGACCTGGCGTTTCCGGGCAGTCAGCCGGTTCGTGTTTTGCAATATGCACCACTGGAAGCTGCTAATATGTATAGGAATTCCAAGCGACAACTTTGTTACCCGCCCTGCGCGCCGCGATTGCCTTGAACTGCGACATCCAGCCAGTCAGTCGGTTCGATCGAAAACACTACTTCTATCATGATCAACCTGCGGGGTATCAGATTACACAGTACTACGGTAGCTTCCTTTCCTCCTCGGTCGACACGTTTACAATCTGACATTAAGATAGAACCCTTTGCGAAGAACGGGTATGTGGATCTCTTTCAACATGACGGCATTGCACCTGAAGACGGCGACCATGTTCGCATCGGCATCAAACAGATCCAGCTCGAACAAGACACCGCCAAGTCTCAGGAATATCCTCCCTCCACTCAGCTACTCGACTTCAACCGAGTATCCCATCCCCTCATTGAGATTATCACCATGCCGCAGATTCACACCCCTGCCACTGCCGCAGCATGTGTTCGGAAGATTCAGGCCATCCTACAATCCTGCAGTGCCGTGACCATCGGTATGGAACTAGGAGGCCTGCGAGCGGACGTGAACGTCTCAATTCGTCGCCGGGACGAGGCTCCCGGCACACATCAGTATGGGGGCATCGGTGGACTGGGTCAGCGCACCGAGATTAAGAACCTCAGTAGCTTCAAAGCGGTCGAAGACGCCGTCATAGCGGAGAAGAACCGTCAGATTGCTGTTCTCGAAAGCGGAGGCGTCATAGAAGGCGAGACGCGAGGCTGGACTATTGGAAGCACCGAGACTCGGAAACTCCGAGGTAAGGAAGGCGAAGTGGATTATCGGTATATGCCGGACCCGGACCTCCCTCCGCTGATTATCGGCGACGACCTCGTCTCCGGTCTGAGGGACTCGCTTCCGACGCCTCCGGACCAGTTGATCGACATGCTGGCTGGCCCAGAGTATGGACTCTCGATCGAGGATGCAAAGCCATTGATTGAGCTGGACGACGGAGCGAGGTTGGAATACTACCAGGATGTGGTCGACATTCTGCGCGACCTGCAGCAGGACCAAGATCCCAAGTCTCGCGCGGGTCTTGCGCGAGTGGCTGGCAACTGGGTGCTGCACGAGCTGGGTGGCCTCTGGGCCAAGACGGACTTGGCTTGGGATGCGCAACGAGTACCCGCTGAGACCCTTGCGCAAATCATCGATCAGCTGCAGCGAAAACGCGTCACGGGGGCCACCGCCAAACAGGTGCTCGTCATGGTCTTCGATGGGGATCGTCGACCTGTTCCTCAGCTCCTCGAGGAAGAGAATCTGCTCCTTCGTCCGCTGTCCCGGGAGGAGTACATTGCCCTGGCGGAGGCAGCCATCAGTCAGAACCCGCAGATGGTTGAGCAAATCCGCACCAAAAACCAACTGGGTAAGCTAGGCTGGTTTGTCGGACAGATGATGCGCATGGGAGAGAAAGGCCGGGTAGAAGCTCAGAAAGCGGATGAGATTCTGAGAGAGCTTATCCTCAGAAAGTCAGATCAGCCGTAGCAGCTCCTTCACAATCTGTAATTATGTAGTATTCTAGAAATGATACCCCTTGCCATCAGATACCATCAGTCTTCCATGATAGGACGGACAGAGTTCTATTGATTACTCGAACCGGAAATCTTGCGGACTAACGACCGTCATCCTCCGGCTGTCGGACCAATATAACAACGCAGCATCTCCATATGACTACGGACCCAGTATGATCCTCGCGGGAGTTGTATTAAGATAAAGAAGCATAAATCCAAACCATTGGTCATAGAAATATGAGGGTGGAGTGGGTTGAAGCCCCCAAGCGGGTGTCTCTCCTGGACCTGTACTTAGGGGAAACCCATGATCCCTAAAAGCAGTTTTTAGCGATCACCGTCGTGTACCACTTTTCGCCCTGTTTTCTCACGAGGGCAAGACCCCACGGCTGTCATCGGACGGGATAAGACATAAATTGACTTGATCCTCTCATTCTGAGGGTCACATTTCAATCCCCTTTTCCATCTTCCAAGGTATCAATAGTGTTGCAGCTTGCACTCGGAGAAAAAGTGACTAGCGGCCTGAGGCATCTCGGATCTGATCTCCACCGCGCTCAAATCTTAATCTTATCGCTTTAGTTCTTCTAGAACAAGCGCCTTTTTTTTTCCGTTATCAATTCTTGATCTATTGCTCTGACCTCAAGTCTCTATACAAATCCAATCCTCTTCACTCACTCTCAAAATGACAGCCCCATCGACTATCAAGCAAAGATTCCTGTCCAAGCCAAATGAGCTGGGCGTGGTCGCTGTCGGATTTAACGGTGGTCAGGTATGACGCTTACTTGCATATACATTGTCGCAAATCCCTCCACGGAGGAAGAAATTGAGCGACGAATTCATAACTAACATCATCTGTATAGTGCAAACTAGGTGTTGAAGCAGCTCCGCTTGCCTTGATTGAAGCCGGTCTTTTGAATCAAGTGCGCGACGACCTGGGCTACCAACTTCACTATGACGACACCGTGCACTACTACGAGAGCCAGATCCCCATGAGCGACCCCGACCACCGGGGCATGAAGAAGCCGCGCGCCGTGAGCGTCGTGACTGAGACGCTCAGCAAGCAGGTCTACAACTACGCCAAGGACGGCAAGTTCGTCCTCACGCTAGGCGGCGACCATTCGATCGCTATCGGCACCATCTCCGGCACGGCCAAGGCCATCCGTGAGCGACTGGGCCGCGAGATTGCGGTCATCTGGGTCGATGCGCATGCCGATATCAACATACCGGAGATGAGCCCCAGCGGGAACATTCACGGCATGCCCATGGCCTTCTTGACGCGGCTGGCCCGGGAGGACAAGAAGGATATCTTCGGGTGGTTGGAGGATGAGCACATCGTCAACAAGAACAAGCTGGTATACATCGGTCTGCGGGATGTGGACCGCGGCGAGAAGCAGCTGCTCCGGGAACATGGTATCAAGGCATTCAGCATGCATGACATTGACAGGTGAGCTTTTTCGTTTTTTCTCCCTCTTTAGGGGGAAGACCATCTTGGAAAGGGTTGCTAACTATAGTAGACATGGAATCGGTCGCGTAGTCGAAATGGCGCTGGCTCACATCGGCAACGACACGCCCATCCATCTCTCGTTTGACGTTGATGCCTTGGACCCCCAGTGGGCCCCTAGCACAGGCACTCCCGTTCGTGGAGGTCTGACTCTGCGTGAGGGTGACTTCATCTGCGAATGTGTTCACGAGACTGGCAACTTGGTCGCCATGGATCTGGTAGAGGTCAACCCCAGCCTGGACGAAGTCGGTGCTTCAGAGACCATTCGAGCCGGTTGCTCTTTGGTGCGTTGCGCACTGGGCGACACCCTCCTGTGATAGCATTTCTTCTGTTTCCGTTTTCTCTGTTTCTTCTTTCTTTCCACTTTCGCAGGTTGATGGTTATATGAACGGGCTAGACGAGTATATGTACTTGTTAGAATAGACACAATGACCGCCGCCAGGCTAGACAATGAATTGATGAAATGCAGTCAACTGAGGAGAGTAGACAGCTAATAAAATTCACCTACACTTGCTTTTCAAGTGAAAGTACGAAATATATATAAGTCGATGTTAGATGTCATGTCCGTCTCGTACCTGTTGATCGTGCCGGCTCCCGAGCCAATGAGCTGGCTGGTTTGCTGTATTTCCAGCCACCACTATTTACATCCAAACTCCCTTTACCCACGCAGTAGATCGTTTCCTGCCACCCATTTTCAACAAGTTTTGCTCTTCTATCACTAGCATCACAACCATGAACAGTCAATTGACCAAAGAGCAACTCGCGGACGGAGTATCAACTGATTTCTCATTGTTTCAGCTATTGCCATGCACCAACTACCAGCTTACATAACGTCCTGAACAACGCATCAACAACGCGACCAACCAACCCAACAGGCTCCCCATACCTGAAAGCCCTTACTCCGTCCTCAAGCCCGATCATCCACGAGCGGGCCTCAACGTGGGATTGCGGCGCCGATGCGCTGTCTCCGTCCATCTCTCAGTGTGTCGTCCGATCAGTAGCCCGTCGCCAGTTGACACCCAACGATTTCCTTACCTTCATTACGGTCCCTCTCAGAGACGACGGGGTATTAAATTGTCGAAGGCAAACTCCTACCGAGTTTATATCGCAAACCGAGAATAGACTCTATCCCTCCATGCATTATCCCTAAGGCCTATCTTCGAATACCTACCACCAACAATGGCCGCCCGCGTCCGCCGCCGCCGATACCGCTGGCCCGAAATCCAACTCAACATCTGGATCATCATCGTGCTCTCCGCCTCCGCAATCTGCCTGGGCATCTTCGCCTGGTTTATGGCCGTACAGTCGCAGCTTCGCTTGGGGACTCCATGGTAGCCTCCTCCCTTCGCTCCTTTCCCTATACACCTACCCAATGGCAGCTAACGGGATATACTTTCTACCCACAGGCTCTTCCCCTACATGGTCGTAAGCGGCAGCCTCGGCGTCTTCTTCATCTGCCTGGTTCTCTTCCTTGCGGCGCAGCGCTTCCTCCTGCCCGGGATCATCATCATCGGGAGTTTTATCCTGTTTGTGCTGTGGCTGACGGGGCTGATCGAGACCTCGCTGCAGCTGTATGGGGTTGTGGGGAACGTGAACGACAACTGTCAGAACTACGTCGTGGACAATCCTTCCACGGGGAACAATATCAATACGTTGGCGTGGTTGACGCAGAGTACTATTTGTATGTCCATGTCCCTGTGTGTTGGAAAACTGGGGTGCTGATGACTGACGACCATCCCTAGGTAATTGCTGGAAGACCGCGTTTGCGTTTGAGCTGGTCAATACCATCTTCTTTCTCTGGATGATGGTTATGTCCTGGCAGGTTAATCGTGATGTATATGATTGATGGGAACGTTTATGATGCTACATGATTGTTATGTTATGTGATATACCTACTGGCACTTGCATCATGCATGGAAGGCGTTCTTATTTTCGGTTCTTTTTGACTCTCTGCGCTTTGCGTCTCCCTATGTTCATGTCATTCTGTTGTATCCTTATATGGCAACACTTTGCTATCGTCCAATATACCTATGCGACTCTCAACACCGGCTCAATTTTGGCCCAGACTCAAACATGAAGCAGCCCAAACGCCGTCGCTATGCCCTGTCGCATCGCAACCGCACACAAAATCAATTTAGACAAGCATCGAAGAGAATTGCCGTAATATACAGACAAAATCCGCGCGTGTAGACCGGTGAACTGGATTCAACCTACCCATTCTCGGCTGCAATTTCTTCCTCAGCCTTGGGATCGTAGTCCCCACCCTCCAATGCAGCCAACATTTCCCGCTCCAGTTCATCGTCTTCGTCCACCGGGTCTTCGGGATAACTGACATCCTGCCCTCGCGCCGCGGGCTCCTCTGGCTCGTTCAACGCTTCATCCGTATCTCCTCCACTGCGTTCCTTTGGCAAGCTGGTGTGGGTTAATTCCGCCGTGCTCGTGGTATCTGCCGTTGCAACCTCTTTAAGCCCTGTAGTACGCTCATAGGACCGTTTGATACGCTGCGACAGGCGCGAGCCCGCCATTTCTCCCTCTTCACCTTGACTACCGTCCGACTCTTCCTCATCTGTGCCTTGAGACTCGTTGTCGCGCTTGCGCTTCTTGCCAGTTGTTAGGAGCGATACTTCGCTGTCACTTTCGCTCTCGTCATCGCTGCCCAGAAACTCTTTAAGCTCGTCGTGCACTGCAGCCTGCTCCTCAGCGTCATACCCGATGGGGGACATCTCGTTGAGCCCGGAGGACTTCCGAATCTCTTCATTGAATTGCGAGCCCTCATCGTCATCCGTCCAGAATCCGCCAGTTTCTTCGTCTGATGACAGCCAGCCACTTTCAAGCTCTTTTGACCCAGGTGAAATTGGCTCGCCCCGATCATCCGGATGCACAGGAAGCAGGTACGGTTCCTCCTCCAGGCGTCTCCATTGAGTGAGCGAATCCAAAAGCCACTGAGTGGTCACAATCTTGATGTTCGGATACCGCGTGGCCTCGCGGACCTTCGCCGTGCGATTCCGACCAGCCACTAGATGCGTGGTTCTTATATTGATCTTGGTGGAAATGACTGCCCCGAAACTCTTAGCCCAGAGAGAAATGTCGGCGTTTTGTGTATCGGTTCCCAGCGGGAGTACCCCCGAGAAAACCAGGACGACACCGCCAAGCACGCGGTGCTTGATGCGTGGCATGATGTCCTTCACATCCGGCACCAATTTCAGGTCGATATCTTTCTCCTTGGACGTTCCCCGCTCACCTCTCAGGGCTGCCACTCTTCCACCAAGCGCCCGCGACCGCTTCTTATCATACTCCTCGAAGAAATGCCTATGTATCTGGTCCAGTCGTTCCTCCAGGAGGAAGAGTTCCCGATCGTTATCCTCCAATAAATGATGTCGGTGTTTGGTCGAATCTTGAGTGTCTTCTATGCTCGAGGCAGAATCACCGCTTTCTGCCGCCTCATCCTCCGCATCCAGCTCTTTCTGCTTCTGTAATAATGGGCGGTCCTCAACCTGGTGCATGATTGTTTCTTCTTGCGCGACGCTCTGCTCTCGGAGTAACCTTGGATTGTCCCCACCGCCCATGGTCACTAGTTGCTCCAGCGTCGAAACCTCAGCTGCAGGCTTGGCTAGAGCACCATTCGGAGGAGGTTGTTGCGTCGATAGCTCCTTCGTTCCTTTGGCATCCTGTTCCGTAGGCTTGATGGCTCCCCCTAGCTCCTGCTTCTTCGGAAGGAAACTGGAGTTGATATCTCCAATTCCAACGAAAAAATCGTAGGGAAAAACCTTGATCAGATTAGGGCTCCATCGCCAGACGTCTCCACGGTCGTCGATGATGACCACCATCTTTGTATCTACCGGAAATAATCGCTGGAGATTCTTAGCCGTCAGGCTCCCGCTTTCGTCGCGGCTGAGGATGCGATCACCAAAGAGCTTACGGTCTGGATCTATAATGCCAGCTATATGTTGCGCGTAGGCTCTAGTACCCATGGTGTAAATGTGCAACTCGAAAAGCTCTGAGACATTCTGCAAGAACGACTCGAGCCCAGGTCGCAGCTTGACGTAGTACCAGCAACCGCGCATGCCCGGGCCGTCATCAACTAATTGGAAAGCTCGTACGTCACTCAGCGCTTCGTGATTAGGATTGTCCTTGTCTTCCATCCATTCTCCGACAGTAGGGTCAACTGTGGCATGGATAATAGTCTGATCCAAATCAACGACGAGAGACAGCTTCCTATTCGCCAACAAGCGACGTTTCGCATCTTCCTCCACACGCGTGGCTTCCTTTTCGCTTACGGTAAGGGCAGTATTATCATGAACCATCTGAATCGGCGCGCGTGTGGAGTCCATGACCTCAGTATTATATGTCGCCCTGTCGTGATGAAGAACAAAATGGTCAGTTCCCGTTATCTCGGCAGTATCCTACGCAAATTAACACAATGTCACTCACTCGGTCATATCCTTTCCACACTCGGCGCAAAGGCCTCCAAATTGAACCTCGTGTGCACATGGTTCGTCAATCTCCACGACGTCAATGCTACAGTGGATATCAGCACCATGTCCAGCAAATACGCGTTCTCTTCCCAGATAGAGGTTGCCAAGGACTTACGGTACTTCGATAACATCTCCCTTTGCTATTTTCCACTGAACCACTTCACCATCAACGGTCGACTCGAACTTCGTGGGAAATTTGCGCTGAACCTCGACCTTGTTGCCCAGCCCATCACCCTCGGTAACAGTTGTCTGGTAAACGTACCAGAACAAGGCCTCGTCCCTCTCAACCGTGTCGCCCGGCTGTTTAAGCAGCGACGTGACGGTGATCGGGTAATGGAGGCTGGGCGGCAATCGAAGAAGCATGCTCTTGTATCGGGCAGGCGAGGTTGTCTCTCGCTAGTCTCTTATCCAACCCGGTAAACCCTTACCTTCTATAATATAGCTATTATGAGAAGGAAGGATGATTTCCAGGGCGACTCCGATCGCGAGCGAAACAGGTGTGCCCGACCGCTACGGATCCATACCCGAAGCGCCCAGCAAAAGAGAGGAGATTCAGACGACGGAATGTGTACACAAGAGGTAACAGTAGAGAATTTTGTTTACAAGACGTATGTCGCAGGATGCGACGCAAAAAAATCCCAACCCCACGGACGTAGAGGACGGGAAGCAATGTAGCTCAGGCGATTGCCACGAGATGACGCGACCCAAAGCAACACAGAAACAGGCTTTGGTTCCAACTTTGGACTTGGAATTGATGGCGCAGAAAACGTGAGTCTTATATTCAATGTGATGAAGCTTGTTTCCTGTTAAATTGGGAATAAAAGAGAAGATGATGGGATGAGGAAAAGGAACGTTGGTGATGGATGAAAGAAATAAGGCCGTCCACTGTTGTTGCAAGCAAGACCAAGAGCGGCCGGAAAGCCAAGGCAACAAAGCGAGGCTCACCCAAGTCCGTCAATGAGTCGTGTGGTCGAGCGGGGGCGGCAAATGCCTAATTGGGTTTAGCTTACATAGCTTCTGGCCCAGACCACACATGAGGAACGATCTAGCGTATGCTTTACTGTAGCTACTTCTTATTGTATGCAGCAAAATCCGCGCATAGTAATCAAAGTTGGCCGAAAAAATCCGCTATCAATTACAGGTATGAGATCTCCATTAAGCAAAACAATGAATTGCAGGCATCTGCATGGAAGACTCGATCTGTTCATCTTCCGGCAGCGAATCCCAGGCATGTAGAGAGTTGAAGACAAACTAAGCTACCGCAATGAAGCTATATACGTATCGTCGTCCTGTCACAGTTGATATAGCGCGGCGGCTGCATACAGACACGCATTACTTGGCCTTAGCCAGACCAACAGCGTTGTTACCAAGATCGTAGACGCTGTACCACTTCCGCAGGAAAGCGTCTCCCAGAATAGCAAGGGGACCAACAGGCTCGGGGAAGTCCATGCCCATGAAGGAGCTGATGCAGGAGCCCTGGACCTCTAGCGTGTAGTCATAGGGCCCAATGGTGAAGTTGTAACCAGCCAAGGTGAAAGTGAGATCGGGCAGGGAGTCACGCTTGTCGCATTCAATAGTATACTGACCAGTGAAGCCCTTCTTAGCACCAATTTCCTTGTTGCTAACGAAAAGAAGTCAGCACAAGCAAGATTCCAATGATGAAACATTTTCGACAACTTACAGCAGGTCAGCAAGAGTGGATGGGAGGGCAATAAGAGAAGTGCCGGTGTCAAGAATGACGCCAGTGTTCTCAAGCTCAGCGACGTTGTCACCTAGAGCGATGGCATCAAAATCAACCTCCCAGTACGCCTTCCGGCGGAGAGGAATCTTGATCAGTTCGCCGGTGTAGTGGTCCTTATCAACACCACCGAAGGAGGCCTCGGAGTTGTCGCCTTCCTTGTTTGTGTCTCCCAGGTAGAAAGCGAAGACGGGCTCATCCAGGAGACCCTGGTCCAGCATGTTATAGAAAGGAGGAACAATCTTGTTGACGGAAATGGTGTCGTATCCCAATCCGAGAATACCGTCAAATCGGCCAAAGGCAAAGGCAAGACCAGGCTCATTGGTGGCCTCAGCAAAATCCTGCTTCTCGACCTTCAAATCACCAATCTGGAGGGTGTCCTGAGACACAAACCCGCTGAGCTCGCCGGATCCGTACCTGATGGAAAACTCGGTGCCGTTCTTCTTGTAGGTGGACGAGGCAGACGAATCGTACTTGCTGTGCAGGAAGCAGGCGATGGAGGTACAGTCGGAGCCAGGCACCCACAGATTCGAGCTACCAGTGTCAAGGACAACCTTGAACTTCTGCGGGGGAGTGCCAAGTGAGATCTCGGAGAAGTCTATAAGACGACTGTGAGTAATTTCTGCAGGAAATTACAGCTGCTCAGCTCTGATGTCTTACATTGTGCGTTCAAAAAGTTATCAACCAATACGTCGTGGCGGCTCATATCATTGAGCGAGTTTTCCTCCAGGAGCTCCTGGTGGACATTGGGACGGATACCCATGTATTTCTGACCCAGGGCGCGAACATGAGCGTCAATGTTATGGGTGTACTGCAGCTTTTCATCAGCGCTCATCTTTCTCCCAGTGTCTCACTTCAAAATCAAGAGATAATTGATGGGCTTTCATGGTCACTTACGAGCTGCTCATCAAGAGGAACCTTATTAAGCTTCAGTTTGTGAACAGCGGCTGAGGCGTAGCCCAACAGCACAGAGGCTGTGAGCAAGGAGGTGGATTTCATGACTGGTAAAAGCGCGGGAACAATAATCTAATAAAGAGAACGGATTGAAACAACAGAAAGAACGTATAATCTTCGATGGTGGAGACGATGAAGAGAGAAGAGAGAGATGGTTAAGAGACGAAGAGTTGGTAGGCAGTTAAGGTAGATGGAACGGGAGCTGACGCCTGGGAAGTGGAGGTGATGTGGATGACTGGTTGCGGAGCTACGCCCCTGCTTTGGATCAGTCAATCAACGTGATCCAACTGCGTCACTGGGGCTGGGGAGGGGATCGTCACGGGAGTCGGATCAATTGATAAGCACGTCCGGCCTGGTTGCTACATATGTACGACGGCAAGGTACTGCCCTTGATAACAAGTACAACCCATCATGCTTTCTCTCTTGAACTTGCCGCCCTGATGGTGAATTAGTGTTCAAGTATCTCCCAATAGAAGTCATATATCTTCCATTGCCGTAGCTGCGAGTTGGCTAGTTCTGTACGTGTTACTGTAACTTGCTTGATGATGTAACTTCAGTTCTTAGTCCTGCTGCCTCGTACTAGATCAGGTAAGCCATTCTTGGCGTCAGCAAGGGCACAATCTTGGTTTTGTCTACGAAGCAGGTGGCGAATGCTAAAGTACCTAGGCACTCACGTGTAGTGTACTACGTACTATCTACAGGCAAAAGGATTGATATCCTGGAGAATAATTCTTCTCCAAAAATGCGTCTTTCGCGGTACTACATGTAGGTTACCTAATGTTGAGGGTTCAATCCATGATTATTCTCTCGCCTGGTGCGGGTCCCATTTCCACCTCATAAATACCAATCATTGTACACAATTTACCGGTAGAATTCGAGCCTGTAACGCAATAGTTAGAACTGGTGGTGAGACAGATTTGAGTGCAGGGAAGAGCATACCTGTCCGCTTCCTGGCCGGTCTTGACCTGAGCAGCATAGGCATCATCGAGGTCAGACTGGATGATATTGTAGCGATTCTTGCGAACAGCACGTAGTCCAGCTTCCTGCATGATGGCGGCAATAACAGCACCGGAGAGTGGCTCGTTTCGTACGATAAGTGAATCCAGATCGACCTCTGGGGACAAAGACATCTTCGATGCGATCGTGGTGAAAATCAGTCGACGTTCCCGTCGGTCACGCAGCGACGGAAACTCAATCTTACGATCCAGACGACCTGGACGCAAGAGGGCAGGATCCAGAGTATCCGCTCGGTTGGTGGCCATGATGACCTTCACATTGCTTGTCTGCTCGAAGCCGTCCATCTGATTGAGGAGCTCAAGCAGGATACGCTGGACTTCACGATCGGCACCAGTCTGGGCATCGAATCGTTTGGTAGCAATTGCATCAATTTCGTCAATGAAGATAATGGCGGGTGAGTTCTCACGAGCCATTCTGAACACGTCACGAACCATGCGAGGACCTTCTCCCAAGTATTTCTGGACAAACTCCGAACCATTCACACGAATGAAGCTGGCAGTTGTGCTGTTTGCCACAGCTTTGACCAACATTGTCTTACCAGTACCGGGAGGGCCGTAAAGTAGAACACCACGAGGCGGATCAATACCTTGAGTAGTATAAGCAAACCAGCACTAGACATTCCTCTCAATGTCTCCGACTCACCAATCTGTTTGTAAAGATCGAAATGCGTCAATGGTAGCTCGACAGCCTCCCTAATCTCCTGCTTCTGCATATCCAATCCACCGACGTCGGCGTAAGTGACATCTGGCTTTTCGTTCTCGCCGAGCATGGCGATGGACGAGTCTGCCTCTGGAGGGAGAATATCGACAAGGGCATTGGAATGACGGTGCAGGGCGACCGAGGAGGATGGCTTGAGTTTCTCGCGATCGAGTGTGGAAAGGATGCGAACGACATAATTCGAGCCAGTTGACGACTGCACGATACCGGTGCTAGGAAATCTCAGTCAGTATATCTCCCTTTCGTCATCCTCTTGGTGCCATACTTCTGATCGATAGCTTCCATAAATTGCCCGATAACGAGAGGGACGCTCTGTATCCGTTTGATCTCCTCCTGTGCGCGGACGAGCTCTCGCTTCAAACTCCTGCAATCGGATGGATCATTAGCTGCTTCAGTTGTTGATAATAATATGGAGGATAGGTTGTGACTTACCTTTGTTCATCCTTAATGTACTCTTCTTGAAGCTGGATGTATCTGCTTTGGGTTATTACCTGATGATAACAGGTCTGAGTCTCTCGGAAGGTGCCATACTCTAAGTGTCTTTGAAGTCTCTTCAGAGTTGCATACTCATCACCTCCATCTGCATCTGTGCCTTCGAGGGAGTCTATATTAGGGATGGTATCGAATGGCGCCGACTTGCTAGGCGTGACGTTGGTCGCCGAACTCTCCACAGCGACGTCTCCCATCATGAATGAAGGCGTTCGAAGATTGGGTGTGGATGGCTGCAGAAATCGGTTGAAAGTTTTTAGGGGAGAATGCAGTACGGACAAGTCTTGCGTCAAGTAGAAGGGGGTGTTGCTTGTGTATTGAGTCCGTCTTCTCGGTTGGAGCTTTCGATGAATAATAATGAAGGCCGGCTCAGATACCTACACTGAGCTCAAGCTGTAGTCACGTGGTTATGTAGCTTGGCGCCGCCGCCAGAGAGCTATCGAACACCTGGGAATCCGATCTCAAGAAGCTCTAAATTCATCTTTCTGTGTATACCTAAGTTCCTGAAAGCAATGTGTTTACTGCATATATATTTATGTATTGTCAGATTCGTACTCGCGCTTTTTTGTATGCAGGACTATGGCCATTTTGTCCAGCTCGAGTAGCTCAGAGGACTATATATAATCAGGATGCTCAGCGTCCAGCAATAAGCAAAAACCCAGTGGAAGATGAATAATTCACACTTCTTCAACAGCAACGTAACTTGGCTATCTACGGTAATGCCATGGCAGGACCAAGGCTCTCTCCGCTTATTGATCCTTAGGATACTCAGAGCAATTCAAATAGCCTAATCGCCTGCAGCACAGTCTCCGATCCTTTCAGCAAAAATGTAAGTGACAAAGAACGTAATTCATGTGCTAAGACTTGAGACCCACAACGTCCCTATGTATATCCTCGAATGCTATGGTTGCACATAGACTTTTAGCTAATGTCCGTCGAAGGAGTGGCATGAGATCGAAGAGCAACTGGCAAACACGTTCATGAACAAAGTTGTACCTGAAGAATCCGCCTGCAGGACTCACAATGACTTACAATTGCGTAAAGACTAAATTTCACTGACTCGAATACGATCGGGTTATCTATGAGATATCCGCCCATTTAGAAGCGCTAGTGGAGTTATTATTACTTCTACCGTAGTAGTAGACTACTCCGCACTGTACTCTTGTTACACAATTGCTGTCACTTGAAGTGTCTACATAGGTGAGAATGAAATACATTATGCCGATTGTGTCTTGCAACCTGAAGTAGAGTACGGAGTACAGGAGCTGATTCAAAGTCGAAAGACGATATCGTGGAATCGGGCTGCTTATTGTCATGATTTGAATGCTTCTTTGAGTGGGGTTAGCAATCAAAAAGATCAAGGTACGAACGGAGTAGTTTAGGTACTGTCGGGACGATCAACCTCGTAGGAGGAATGCACTCATTTACTCAACAGTCGACATTCGGATATACCCAGATGGGTACTTGACTATGTCCTGACCAGTCACCTTGCTCAAAATTGGGCATATAACGACGTATGACCATTATTTTTCGGCATCTTTCAGGCCAACTATTGTACTATTATTCTCATCCCTTGAAGTATAAGTATCTAAGTCCTGTTCCTTCGCTCTACGTCTCATCATTCTCCCTTGTTCTTCATCTCATTATATCGTATCTTGTTGACTATAGCACCATTTCTCCCAAGTCAACTAGCAGTGGATACCAGCTGCTAGTCATCATGCGTCTTCTTCGACATCCCATCGACTTCGCCTCTATAATAATCGCCTCTATGGTTGTCATAACAGCCCCATCAGCCGGAGTTTGCTGATATTCCTAGTCATACTCCGTATACGTTGTGATCATGTATCCCGGAAGGACCAAGGCCAAGCAACTTGCATGAGTGATGTGCACAACCAGCGCATGACATTTAGGACCATTTGTGCCTCCAATATCAAATGCTGCCATGGTACTGAAAAGGAAACTGATAGAAAGCAGCAACAATCCTGAGCGATCAAGTCTCGGCGCCACAAATTTGCAACAACATTGCAAAATATCAACGTCTATCTCTTGCTCCTATTCCTGATCGGGTGCTAACTAACCCGAGTATGGCAGCAACAGGATAAAGGGACACTTCTGATGAAGTCAAAACTTTAAAATGAACAGTGGACTTGACACGAGATGAATTCAATGAATTCAACATGGGAGTTCCTCACTCCAGAGAATATCACTCTTTTTTAATTAGTTTCAAGAAAACTGACAGTGCAATCAATCCTTAAGTGCTGAGCAGAAGATCTTGGTCATATCTGGAGTCTCTGGACTGCCAGAAGCGGAACAGCAGCATTCCACATGATGTGCTTACCTAATCAGGCCAGTGGCATTATTGCACCCTGACCCGTTCGTTGCTTGTTCTTGCTGCTTCTTTTTCTGCCGTTTTGTTCGAACCCCCCCCCTTTTTGCCGACTAACTGACTGGCCTCTCTTTCCGTTGCTACTGCTGGTAAAATAACCTACTGGAAGACTAAGGTACCCCCAGTACCCGTACGTACCTCTTTCTGTCTGGTTTCAATATCATCCCTTCCATCTCTCTTATCTTTGGGCTGCTACTGCTGAACACTCCTCTTACGCTTGTTCCATTCCTGTCTTCCCACGCCTCCACTTTGTCTGCCTTTTTCAAGCGGCCCCCCCTTCCCCTCATCGAAATACAGGAAGGAATTTCATTAAAATAAAATAAAATTACGACTCTCCTGTGCACTGCTTTACTTGGATCTGGTACGTTCAATACTAGACCACCCACCCACTTGTCTTATGCCATTGGATTGTGCCTGCTGTGTCCAGAGCACACTTCACATGTGTCGCCACGCACTACTGGCCATCCAATCTGGCCATTCTTCGGGACCAGTCACACACGTTGCAATCCCCATCCTGTGGTGCTCAAAGTTCCAGCGCTTCTTTGGCTTATTATCTTGTCTTATTGATTAAAGTCTTCATTACTCTTGTATTCTGTTGTTACCGTTTTTTATTTAGTTGCTTCTTTACTTATACTGATGGTTGAGCCTCATTGACAGTTCCATCCCTGTTTTCTGCCTTTGCGCTCCGGCGCCTGCAATCCCGTGACTTCTCATCGTCCTCTTTGCACACTCTCAAGCCTCTCAACCGCTGCTATTTCGGGACCGGTGTAATCGTACGCTTACGAGTCGGCATCTAAGTTATCCAGCCTTGTCGGTATGTACAAAACCTTTGCGCTATTTTTATTCCCTCAGTACCGATCTTGTTCCGTGTCTTCATTACTTGCAGCTCTTGCGTCGAATGTTTCCGATAGTCTGTTCTGTGTGCTCGTTGCTTCTCAAATGCTCGTGTCGCAGACTCAAAGCGCGACTCAACCACAACCTCCGACGCGTCTATAGCCCCCCACCTTGTCCTTTCTGTGATGAGTTTCGTCAACGGTTGCATCATTGATTTTCATGTTGATCTCGTCGCGAGACCAACAGTTGCTTATTAATGATGGCCGAGCCTGTTTTGTGCGTGTGACACATTCGCTGACGATCGTCGCCTTGCAGATGGGTTGGTAAGACCACACGACATGAATGCCTGGCTAGCCGACGCCTCGAACCTCCAGAGCCATGACAATGGTGCCTTTAATCAAGCAACAATAGATCCATCAGCGGCATTTCTCCATGCATCTCCCACGCCGCCAGACCCCAATCAGTTTCAGCGCATGTTCAATGGAGTACCGCGAAATGCCTCCCCCGGATTCCACAACCCTAACCAGGTGATTCCGTCCAAGAGATCACGACCAGAGGATGGTCTCTCAATGTCGCCTAGGCAAGCGCCTGGCGGGCTTTCTGTATCGCGATCTCAGACGCCTCATCAAATGCCTTTCCCTGGTTACCAGGGGCCTGCGAATGGCGCCCAGCAATTCCCTTCCCATGCCGCGCCGTACCAACATTTCCAGCAAGGGACTCCGACCAATGTCACTCAGTCCCCCATCATGCAAGACTTTGACCAGCACGGTGTGCAGAGACTGGGAACGGCCTCTCCTAGCCCATTCTCGCCCGCTGGCCCTCATGTCGGCCCTCATATGTCCCCGTCGCAATCAGATCATCCAAGTAGAGTCAACACACCGCAAAACAGCTCATTTATTCCAGGTCAGCCTTTCCCTCAAGGGATGGGCCCGCAATTTGCACCCGCTCCTACGATGACTTCTGCTGCTGTACAAGCGCCCATGCAAGCGAACTTTAGCAGTATGCCGCAATATCAGCAAGCAATGGCCGCTCAACAGCAGCGACTCCACGCGTTGCAGATGCAGAACCAAGGTCGTCCTATGAATATGAATCCTGCGATGGCAGGACGCCCCGTGGCAGCGGGGATGAACGCGATGGCAAACCCTCAGCAAATGGCAGCCATCAGGCAAATGCAGCAAAATATGGCCAAACCACCCAATCCTGAGGGCTTTATGAGGTCGTTGCAGAAATTTATGATGTCGCGCAATCTACCTTTGGATCCGAATCCCATAGTTTGTGGTCGCCCTATCAATTTGGTCCAGCTCTATGCGACCGTTATGAAACTGGGTGGTTCAAAGAAGGTAAGCGCCGCAAACATGTGGCCTGTAATAGCCCAACAGCTTCAGTTCCCTCCGATGCAATTTCCTATGGCTGTACAGGAGATTCGGGAACACTATCAAAGGAACCTCGCTGCGTACGAACAGGCTTTTCTCAGCACGCAACAGAAGCAGTTTGCAGATCAAATGCAGCAAAGCTCACTGCCGCGACAGCCAAGCGATCCATCGGCTCTCCAGTTTCAGTCGCCAACAGTCAAACAGGGCCAAGGATTCGAAGTACCTCAACCAGTTGGTGCCTCTCCTGGTACCATGTCGGTAGCAAACAATGCGCAGCAAAATATTCCAAATGGCTTCGCGACCCCGACTCAGGTCAAAGCGTCGAACAAACAACCACAGCATCGACTAAGTGTATCCCGTCAGTCTCAACCTCCAGCAACCCCGCAGGATTCTACAGGCCAGTTACCAAACCAGTCCCCTGCTCAGTCAACAAAACCTCTTGGGGCAACACCGGGAAAGTCGGCTAAGACATTCGAGCAAGCCTCTGATCAACCTTTGAAACAGCCGATACAAGATCCTTTCAAACCAATGGTTTTGCCGGAGAGCAGCTTGCACGGTCCGATAGCTTTGGATGAAATGTACCAACTTGGGGAAGAAATAACTAGGTTGAAACCAAATGTGCCTTCCTTTGCCGAGCTTGGCGTTATTGACATTCACGCGCTCACAATGAGCGTCAAGTCTGGTATTCATGCGGAGATGCGCCTGGCGTTGGATACTCTTGTATCCCTCTCCTGTGAACCAGCCGTCCAAATCTCGCTCGATAATTGCGAAGATTTGATTGATAGCTTGATCGAATGTGCCGAGGACCAAGCTGATCTGCTTGCTGAACACGCCGTGGAGGTTTCGGACGTGATGTTACTCCCCTCGTACGAGGAGATTACTCGTGGATGTCAGGCAGAATGGACTTCTCTTGCCGACGTCCCTGAGTTTGGAAGCCTTGAATATGAGCTCGATCGGGCTGTTGACAGACTCATATGCGTCACCACAATATTGCGAAACCTTTCCTTCACTGAATCAAACTTTGGGTTACTATCAACTGCCCCCGTTGTACAGTTCATATCAACCATTATCCGATACTTAGGGACTCGAAACATGCTTCTTCGAACCCATCAGAACACGTTGGATTTCATGAAGGACGCTGTCATCTATTTGAGCAATTTGGCGCATGTGATTCAGTTACCAAGCAAAGAGGAGGCCCTTTGTCTATTGCATTTCCTTTTGTCTTTTGCTCCATTTCCTCCTCCAACGTTGGGTCCAGACGGCGTCATGTTTACATCCTACAACGCCTCGATTCACAAATACACACCCGCCGCCGTCGACAGCTTAGCTAAGCTCCTGGCCAGAGATGATCCCAACAGGATTTTTTTTAAAGCAATATTCTCCGGTGATGGAGCGCCCGGTCCACAGCATGAATTGCTGACCCGTGCCTTTGGACTAGCTATTTGTCCAGTCCCCGATCAACTACGGAAACATCTGGCCATAGCGGACGCCCGCAAGGTATTCCTCATGCAGGGACTACTGGCAGCCGACATTCTTTCTTCGTTTGCTGATGGTACCCTGGCCAAACAATGGCTTGAGTCGATCGACGGGTTTGCTATTCACCTTCTGCGGCTCTCATGTTTGCTAAGCACTGAACGTGTCCCTCCCCCTAATACCAATTCTCGCCAGTCCCATGCTGCCCGAGGTCAGGCGGAGGCAGAGGCCGCCGCGTATAGTTCTATTATCAATCGAGGTTTAACAATCCTGTGTCGTCTAGCGGAGAAGTCGAAGCTCGCTGACAATAGTTCCGCGCGGAATTTTCCGTCGGGAATCATCCCGAAAAAAGAGAGCCTACTTGGTGCATTATTGATGCCCAATGTTGATCCTGGCGTTGTTCGGCAGCTGATCTCTTATGCTCGTTTAGCCGAGTGAAATGTGTTAAACCTAATGGGATACTCCGCTTCTTGTGCTCTTCCAGCTTCAAACTCCCTTTCTTTGGATATTCAAGTGACCCTAGCGGGCTTGCCATCTTACAAAGCCAGTTTGTTCATTCTCGTGCCTTCTTCTGATCTCAATGAGGACTCACTCATACCTGTTCCATGCCTTTTTTGTATCTGTTCGGCGCCGGTGGGAGAAATATTGTGGGGCGTGACTGTATCATTCTGTCTATCACTGTAAAATACCCTCGGGCAAAAGAATCATTCATGATGTCTATATGGGTAAATACACCATCGTTGTCATCATCTCAAACCATTCATTCTCCGTTTGTAATGACCTACGTATGCCTGGTTCTCTTCGCTTCACATTAAAGAGGGAGACCACAAGCTTCTCCGCAAAAAAATTGGTTTCGTCTCTAACATGGGACTAGAATGACCCTGTAGAATATATCAAGAACCTCGTCTGCATTCTCACGGATACTAGATGCTGAAGCTTGCCTTCAGGTCCACAATTGTAATTCCAGATGCATAAGTCTTTTCGTCTGATTTGACTGGACTATTGGACATGTACTAGAGTGTGAATAGTACAAATAGCCACACAACCGAGAAATGGCAGAGATGAGATCAGATGCGGAAAGGATAGAAAGAGGAGGACAATCCCCAGAGTACAGCAGAAGCCAGAGCCTTCAATGACAGCAATGAGAAACCCGCAACACGGACACCAGCAAGAGAATCGTACAATGCAAAAAGGGACATGAAACGAAATGACGATCCAAAGACAGTGAAACGCGATAAACAAGTAGCCCGTTCATGCAAATTGGGCATTTTCCATGGGCCCCTTCCCTCCGCATAACAACATTTCACTTCCCTTCTTCGGTCCTTTGGTAGTGCGTTTGATGCTGAAGCTTGAAATAGCTCTTTTTCGTGGAATATGTAAATCGGTAATCGATTATCGAGTAGATGATGATAATAGATATTGGGTACGGAAAGGTAATCGTTCATGCTGAAAGAGCTGATACGTCACTGCTTAGAAGTTACGCTCCAGAAGGAACTTTTGAATCTCAGGCTTCCGCCAACCCTACATGGTGTCAATTAGCGATTGGATTGATAGGGCAGAAAGAGAGCACTGGACCGCGCGAGGTATATCCACTCATACCTTGACAATAATATGGCCATTGAGACGGTTGATAGTGACGTCGGGGCTTTTTGGCGAGCGAGGGTCGCCGCTTTCAAGACCGAGATATCGTGCAAGGTCGCTCCTCAATGCCTCGAGATCACCTTCCGTCTTCTGAATCTTGGTCTGTTGCTTGGTACCACCGGCTTTTGTGACGAGATATACGGGGAGTTGGTTTGATGCTGTGCGGCGAATGAAATATGGGAGGTTTGTGAGCTGCAGGTTTGCGCCAGGAAGAGGCACGGCTCCTGTTATTGCGGAAGGGTTTTCTTTCAGAGTCTGGGATTGCCGTTTGAGCTGAACCAGGAACGTCCGGGACTGATGGGCGGAAGGCTTCGATTTGGAGAGTTGAGCGGTTCTCAATGAGTGAGCTGCAGTAACACACGTTAGTACGATAATCTCCAATCTGGTTCCCAAATCTGCTTCTCTGTTTCTATTCATTTTTCTGCTATAGCTCGCTTATGGATAGAAACGCATGGGACAGGCGGATTCGACGGAGACTTACGAGAAGAGATCGATCTAGACTGTGAAAATAATGTGGAGAAGGGGCTACATGTCCTCGACGAAGCGACAAACTGTGAAGCATTGAGGAAGACGGGAGCTGCAGTCGACTGCTTGCGAACAGCCGAGCAGACTGGCAGAGACTGCAGGAAAGATGCCATCGGCTGCGGATATGGAAAAACGCGGCCTGCAATGGATAAAACTCTGGCAATCCCGACGTGTGGATGTGATGAAGAGCCCCGACAAGAAATGGGTTCTATCACAGGGGATGTGAGCGCGACGTACGATCGAAAAGAGGTCCTACAGAAATGTCAAGCATCATCCTACAACATACGATTTCTTGCGTTCTGCGCGGAGACCTGTTGCTAGTCCCAAAGAGGGCTAGCGCGCCCACCAGCCCTCCCGCCCACATTTTCGCCAGCGCAAAGAAACCGCCGCACACTTACTTTGGCACGGGACGAAAGAAGAGACAGAGAGAGACTTCAACACAGTCCTCGCTGCTGTTCCTCCACTTCATATACCCCGCGCTTTCCTCTCATCCTGCTGTCCATCCTACACCAATATGGCAGCCAACGTTCCCCCTTCCGCTGAGACTATTCTCAGTGGTGCCGCGGCCCACCCTTCGACCGCTGAAGAAATCGCCAACCAATACAACCTGCTTCCCAAACTGATCCCCTATCTCGACCGTCACCTCGTCTTTCCTCTGCTTGAATTCAGTTCGGGCCAAGATGACGAGAAGGAAGTTGTCCGTGCGAAGTATGAGCTTTTGAAGCACACGAACATGACCGACTATGTTGCCAATCTCTGGAAGGAGATCAACAACTCCGACACCATTCCCGATGAGTTCGTGAAGAAGAGGGAGGAGGTTCTCGCCAAGTTGCAACAGTACGAGGAGGAGAGCGCCAAGATCACCCAGCTGCTGCAGGATGAGAGCGTCGTGGCCAACCTGCGAAGCGACAAGGTCGCCAACTTGAAGTTCCTCGAGGAACAGCACGGAGTGACCATTGAAATGGTCAACAGCCTTTACGACTACGGCCGGTTCCAGTACAGCTGCGGCAGCTACGGTAATGCGGCAGAGCTCCTCTATCAGTTCCGTGTTCTTTCGACGGATAACGACAAGGTCGCCTCGGCTACATGGGGTAAGTTCGCTTCGGAGATCCTCACCACCAGCTGGGAGGCTGCGATGGAGGAAGTCCAGAAGGTTAAAGATTCGATTGAGACCCGTCTATTCAACAACCCTCTGGGTCAGCTCCAGAACCGCTCCTGGCTGATTCACTGGTCTCTTTTCCCCTTCTTTAACCACGATGCCGCTCGCGATGTCCTGACCGATCTCTTCTTCTCCCCCGCCTACATCAACACCATCCAGACCAACTGCCCCTGGATCCTGCGGTATCTTGCCGCGGCAGTTATCACCAACCGTAACCGCGCACACAAGAGCAGCAGTGTATACCAGAAGCAATTGAAGGACTTGATCCGTGTGGTGCGCCAGGAGGGTTATGAGTACAACGACCCTATCACCGACTTCGTCAAGGCTCTCTACGTTGATTTCGATTTTGAAGAGGCTCAGAAGAAGCTGGGCGAGGCCGAGGATGTGCTTCGCAGTGACTTCTTCCTTGTTTCCACCGCTGATGCCTTTGTCGAGGCTGCTCGGCACCTCATCTCCGAGAGCTACTGCAAGATTCACCAGCGGATTGATATCAAGTATGTAACAGTATCTTAAATTTGAATGACGAGGCGGCGGACAACTGACATTGGAAACTAGGGATCTTTCTACCCGTCTCGGCCTGAACCAGGATGAGGGCGAGAAGTGGATTGTCAACCTGATCCGCGACACACGTGTTGATGCCAAGATTGACTACAAGGAGGGCACCGTGATCATGAATCACCCTCCCCAGTCTGTGTACCAGCAGGTCATCGAGAGGACCAAGGGTGCTTTCTTCCGGACACAAGTGCTGAGGTTCGTCCGCTTATTGTATCCACAACACTGACAAATTACTAATTTTTATTCTGTCACAGCGCGGCTGTTGCGAAATAAAGTAAAGAATTCGATTTACGCCCCGAAAACAAAATTCATCCTTTTTCCTTCCTCCGAATGGTTCTGTTCATGTTAAAAATTCCCACTGTCTGTGGGTTTCTCGTGTGATGGGACCAAGCAGAGTGGCATCAGGCTGGCGTTCAGGTGGTCCACTTTTCATGTTCCCCGTAATTCCTCCTTTCTATTTTATGTTGTCAGTTTTAGATATCTCTCTTGGGCCCCCTGCTTGACTCTCTTTGTGTTTCTGTGATGGTGAGAAAAGAAAACGAGTGGCCATTGATTGAAACTCTTGACATTTCTAAGGGTCTAGAAGCGAGGGAAGAACCGAAAGGGAAGCCAGCTCGAGTCCGTGTTCCGGGACTGGGATTTTACTTCAGAGCCGGGCGAATGACCGATTGTAACGATTGATGAGAGTCATATTGTTTCGCATGGTCTCAGAGCTTTGTGCTATGTTGATTGATCCATTGATATATGCTGTTACGAATGGTCTATAGACAGATGAGTGAAATTCAGTATCAACCTTCCGGTTACCTCAAGTCATTCCTGTATTCATTCGGAATGAGACTGCCTTTGGAGAGGGATGTTCTCGTGTATTTGTAGTAAGGAAGAGGTCATTGGAGTACGTCTCTAAGACGAAAGAAGGCGATCCACATCAAGCCAAAGCAACCCGAAAATGAATTGTAGTCGAGACCAGTTGTTAATATATGGCCCGATTTCAGATCCCAAGAGTTGTTCGAACAAAAGACGAATGTGACATAGCGCTTGCAGCGAAAATGCCGGTCTTGATTAAGAGGAAAGAGTAGGTGAAACATGGACTGGCGCGCTCGACTGGGGTATATTGTGAAAAGCAAAAGCCCGGAGACAATCAAACGAATATGCTCGACGACATCACTGGCTCTAAACCGGTGAAAGTCTATTGTCAATCGAATGATTCGGGATCATCGCCCACGCCGCCCTCCGTGATCAACGGGCTGCCTGCGACAACCGAAGGTGCGCACCGGTACGATTTCGTTGATATAAGGCTCTGACTCCCTGCAGGAACTGGGTGTAAGGATATCCCCTGTCATTCGAAGGGATTCCTGCCGTTCGTACTCTCGTGACATGATGGCCAGATCGTTGATTTGTTCCTGTGGGATCCTGTTAGTGGCAGGGCAGTAGGAAAGCAAATGCCAGAAGGGAGCAGAGACCCGCGTCAAAGGCACACCATTGATGAGATAGCCGTCGCGCCCCTGTTTGTATCAAGCTCGCGGATTAGGCACACTCTTCCCATTATCACACTTTCGCCAACTAAGTAATCGTTTACCTGGTAAGTATAAGGTCTCACAGTTGCCGATGGTCCAAGGAAATACTGGATATGGCCCAGCACAATATGTCTTGAGAGACCATAGCCTGGTAACCAATATTGCTGGACTTGTGACATCTTCGAAAGTGTTTTGTCCTTCTAGATGGAACACTTTGAGGTATATAAGCTTGGTTGGATGCTCGCGTAGGATGCTGTTTAAGGAAGTTGATGATGGCACGAAACAGGTACATGAATGGACGCCGTGTGTATATATAGCCCCAGGCCGACTCTACTCATGTAAGGGATAACGGCGAGATAAATACGAAGGTCGTCTGCATGAGCCCGAAGGAATTGATTGAAGTTCGAGATGCTCAGCTGCAATACAGTCATACTCGCTTAGTGAAGCTGATCAGCACTTCCATTTGCAATCACTATAGAATCTTCCAGAGGAGATCACACTTACAGTAGTCCAGAACCTCAAAGGAGTATCCGTCACGAGCAGAGTGATAAGATGGCTGGAAAGCCAATTTGGCTCATTGTGCTCATCGGATCCCGGAAGGACCGCCTCACTCTTTGAGAGGACGAGATTCAACCCCCTTTTCGCACCGGTAAAACAAAAGTGAGGCTTGACTTTGACGAAGACTAATACCGTTCGCAAATCGAAGCCAGCTGCACCCATGCCATGCGCTCCTAGGTCGCTGCGCCAGGGCCGGATCCTATTCCTTAATCGTGCGTCTCAATTTCAAGATCCTTGGACTAGATTGCGGTGAACATGCGGCACCAAATTGGTTTGTTAGGATGTTGTCGTGGCTCCATGCGCTGACATCCTAGTAGAATATTTATCATAACATTCCGAAACCTTCTTCTAACTTTCCCCAGCTCAATGAGGGCGCTTAGTATATTCCGAGTTTAAATGTATATTGAGATCAGAGCTGGCCGTAAACAGACGGGTCCCACTGATCATCGTTGTGAGATCAGAGAGCTATTATCTATGCGCAGTGGGTTTGGTGGACAGGCAGACCTGAGAGCAATGCCACGCTCAACCCATTTCTTGTAATCTGCGAAAAGAGCCAGTGCATGTTAGACAAATCAAAGCAGCAGCCGGATTTTTAGGAGGAACTTCACTCTCTCAACTGACACCGACAGTAGGTAACTAAGGTATAGACATGCCGAGTCCGAGAACGCGTGGACCAGTTGCCAACAATTATATTGATCCAGAACAGAGAGGAAGAACACTGCATTGTATGCACAAGGCCGATTCAGGAAGCGGTGCTCGCCGTCTTCCATGCAGTGTCCCCCACAACTCATATTTATCGATGGCTCCGTCTTGCAAACGGGCCTCCTAAGTTTCGTTCTCAAGAAGCATCTGCAGAAACGATCCGAGACCCTTCAGCAACAAAACAAAATAATAATGATTTTGGATTCGGTGACTTCTCGTACGAGAGTCCATCTCTTCACCAGTCGATTTCTAAGCGCTCATCGATGCAATGTATCCAACAAGGATCCGCCCCTGCGGCCTATGAAACAACCTGAAGGAGAACGTTTCTCTCCGCTGGGTCTTGGTGATCTCCACCCAGCTAGGTACATGGAAAGAGCCCGTCCGCTAATTTTGTCTGGCTACGGAGTGCTTCTTGCGTAGATGCAGCTACTAACCCACCAATGTGGCCGGAGAGCGACCAGCCAACCATTGCATACCGTGGCCGTTGGGACGCATGGTCAACGACTTCATTTCGGACCAGTTCTAGTACGCAACACTATCACGGTGTCCACTGTTGCTTCTAGACTTGCCTTTAACTGATGCTGTGTGTTCTGGTGCTTCCTGAATGGCTCGGCATGGACCTTGACATACCCACCATGGCAGCCAAGGCAGCTATTTCTATAAATGTCTTCCCAGACTTGCCCTGACGTATCACGGCTTGTACCGAGGGTAACCCTTGACTACGATTTCAACTTCGACTGAAATAAAAGAGTGATGGCCTCTTTCGTGGGGCCTAAGGAAAGCGAATTCAGCGAGCTTCATTCTGGCTGTGTAAGCCCAAGCGGATTGTAGTCATACAATCTCGGTTGAGGCTGTTTCACTACTCTGGCGAGTTCGAGAACTTGATCTTCAAGCAAACCTACGCACGAGGGATCAGCGAACTGCCTGATACTACTGAAACAGGGTCCATATATACACTTCAGACACCGAGGATGATCCTGCCTTGAAGATCCTTGCAAATGGAACTACCAGGTGGCCCATTGAGCGAACCTGAGTCCACGGCCTCATTTACAACATCAAGGCTGGAAGTTCTGAGCACCTTGCGCTATTCAGGTATCAAGTCGAAGTGTTTGTAGTCCAGCAGACAAAGACATCCTCTCTTCTGATTAATATCCAAATCTGGTTGGTGTCATACTACACAACCTACTACTCGCCTCATCACTCTACTGAAGTAAGCAATTCAGCTTGCACTGGGCATCGATCATTTCGTGACAGCACATGCTGATCTGTTGAACTTCATCACACCCAGTCGCCACTCAATTGACTAGGCTAATTCCCTTCATCAAGCTAATGGCAATTCACACCTATAGAGCAGTATATCACCTCAAGACAGTTTCATGTAAAGCAACATACATTCGGCACTGATCCAATGGCTCTTCAAGTTGACATGAAGCGAAGTTGAGGTGTGCATTTGTCAAAGCAACGGGATTCACTTGACTCCAAGCATCCTTGATGTTCAATGAAAGTAGAGGCACATAATGCCTGCGCCTGACATTTAACGCGGCAACTCTTAGAATAGAAGGGCTGTTTAGGTTTGGAGTGTGTTAGGCAGTCAAGCTCTTGTTTCGAGCTGCCAGCTTATTCGCCTTCAGAGAGACCCCAAACAGCATGAATGAGGCTTCAAGAGGCAACAAGAGCTCGCTCGAGGCTTTGAGAACCTTTTGTGACATTATGTGAAATACCTGGTTCCCTCGCCGATCTTTCGGAGACTGTGAAAGTGAGGCGCTGTGGCGAATCACTCAAAAGAAGTCAGCCACACCCATGTGTGTCGACTGAGACAAGAGCAAAGTTAAACGAGAAAGCACAAGATTCTACAGTTAGATTATTCGAAGTCAGAAGCAGTAGACTGAATACAAGGGTGAACCCGAGCATAGAAGGCAGTATGATCTCGAATCATCATGGTCTATTCATTTCGTAACTCGTCCCGACTATATCTCTTATGGCTCTCATATGGATACAACATGTTTAGGGTAGTCTATTGAGGAGGAACGTAAGGGTGCACAAGCATCTCGCTGAACCTGTAGACATTGTCAGTCATTGTTTTCAACGAGTATTGGATGGAGGACTGACTTTTCCAGCTTTTCCTTTCCTCTTACTTCCTCAACCAGTAATGGCATCCGGACAACGTTGAAATCTTCGTAAAGCTCCTCGATTTGCTCAAGGTACTTCTTCTGCATCTTCCTGCGAGCATTGCACTGCTCGCATCCGCTTCCTTCCTTGGGGAACAGAAGCTGGTTGACCACAATGGCATGGGTATCGATACCGTAGCTCGTGAGTTCCTGGATCATACGCTCCGTCTCGTACAGGGACAGGAATTCGGCGATGCAGACACACACGAAGGTGGTCATGTCGGGGTTCTTGAACTGCGTATTCACCTCGCTAATGGTCTCCCGCAGAGACTCCATCTTCTGGAGGAGCTCGTCGATGTTCTGTCCGCCTGGGAGGCCGCCACGAGCACCGAGGATCGAGTTCAGCATTGGTCCGAATTGAGACGACAGCTGAGAGAGCTTCGCGAGGGCCTTCTCAAGGACGGTAGGGAACTGAAGGAAACGAAGGGTGTGTCCGGTTGGTGCAGTGTCGAACACAATAACCTCATAAGACAGAGACTTGACTTGCTTCAAGACTTCGGCGAAGGACATGGCTTCGTCGACACCGGGAATCTACAGACGTTGATTGTTAGCATGGACACGCGCTCCCAGTAATGTCAAAGGCTGCACCTACGCTGAAAGCCAGATCCTGCATCATATTACCCATACCCAGTCCGGCCATGGGATCTTCGCCCTGCGACTCCCCACTAGCGAGGAGATCCTGGATGCTGCCGTTCGGATCAATCTCCATAGCGCTAAGGTTGGAGTATCCATCGACCAGCCTGGCCTCCTTTCCAAACTTCTGCCCGAATGCATCGCTCAGGTTGTGTGCGGGGTCGGTCGAAATGAGCAGGACTGATTTGCGGACTTTCGCTAGCTGGATCGCAAGCGAGCATGATGTTGTTGTCTTCCCAACACCTCCTTTACCACCAACGAAGATCCATCGCAAGGTCTTCTGGCTGAGAATGGACTGGAGCGTTGGCTCCATGAGATCGTCGCCGTGCACGACCGCGGTCGAAGACATTTTGAGGAATTTGGAAGTTGAGAATCCGGCAAGCAGAAATGTATCGCAACTTAATGCAGTGAGAAGATGCTCGAATTCCTTGAAAAGGGGTTGTTTGCTTGTTCGGTGAGCAGTGATGGGGGTTGAATTTACACGTATTTGTTTCCCCGCAGAGGCCAAAAGTTTTTGATTGAGGTGTGTCGAAGCTTCCGAGAAATGGGCTCGAAAGAGATTTGAGTCGCAGGGACCTGGCTTGAATTGTATCGACAGACAAGCAAGCAATTACAGAAAAAGAAAACTATTTACAACCGTCAAAGCACGGTCAAAGTGGTAGAATCATCTGGACGCTCCAGCCATCATCGGCGGGGCACGTGCTGGAGTTTTCTGCCTGAGGCCTCAACTTCTATGCAATTGGATGATCTCAACTTTACTCGAGGAGATCAAATTGAAACGACATAATGGACCTAGCGCCATCTGCATCTATGAGCCTCTCAGTAATGGCTCTCAAAGATCCAGCAGCAAGAGTTATGTAGCCAAAGCTCATATTTCGCGCAAAGACAAAAAGCTCAACGCCCCACTGAAGGTATAACTCCGTATGGAGTACAGCTGTCGGTGCTCTCCGATGCATGAGAAGCGGAGATAGAAAAAGACCCCATGCGCCAACAGATAGTCACGCTTTACTTCTTGACAAAAGTTTCTCACACTTGCTTCTCCGAACCTCGTTCTAAATCTACTTGATGGACGTTGGAAACCAACAGATCCAGTCAACAGACCAATTGGTTAAAGCCAGCGACCGTCTTGCCCTCTACCAGAAACAGCTCCTTCAAGCCTCCGGCCCATCACCACAAACCACATCTTCCAGCCGTAGTATCTCAACCGCCGCAGAGGCAGCTAGCCAAATGTCTCGCGATCCTATCACCTGCCATGTCTTGAACACCCTGACGGGTACTCCCGCCGCAGACCTCCCAGTAACGCTGACATTCCTCGGGAGCAGCAATGGCAACAGCACCAGCCAAAGCCCCATCACATTCAGCGCAACGACGGACGCAGACGGACGTGTGAAGAACTGGACTGCCACCGCCTCGACAACTACGACGGTTTCCGGGCTACTTTCATCGCTGCCGACTGCGGATAGCAAGACAAACTGGGCGGTGCGTTTTGAGGTTGGGCCCTGGTATGAAGCGCAGGGGATCGAGAGTTTCTGGCCGGAGGTGGAGGTGAAGTTTACAGTGAAGGGACGTGGACGGGAGGGAGAGGAGGGTTGGCGCCACTACCATGTGCCGGTGCTGCTGGGGCCTTGGAACTATTCTACTTATCGGGGTTCCTAAAATGAGGCTGTTGATGGTTTGACAGTGATGGAAGACAAGGTGTGGATCATTAGTTGCTCTTTTTCCTTTTTCTGATTGTGGAGCGTGCACAAGTGACGTATCTGGAGAAGCTCTAAAAGATGAAACATTGACTAGCAGAGGTACGGAGTGCTCCGTCCATATCTTTAAGATAGGGGTAGTTTAAATGCTGCAATTGAATATGTATTTCTAACGAGCTGGAATTGACAAGTAAATGAACTCGGATTTCATCATGGATGTGATATAAACAAAGGTGCAAGGAGAATGCTTAAATTAGAATCAATATGTTCCAGTCAAGTTGTCAACATCTGCGCTACTTTGTGATTTGTGACACTGCTCCTCCATCCAATCGCCAACTTAGCTATGTGAGCATCAATCCACACATGCAGCAGTTCTCGAGCAATGCAAGCACTAGAATCTATCGGTCAACCTACTGCCACTCCAAAGTCAAGCATAGATATGCATCGAAACCAGGTGGACATTCGAATGAAGTCAAATAAATGCTATCGGCGAGAGAAGAGCCGATGCTTGTGTTACACGAAGTCAGGATGAGACTCATCTTCCACTATTGCAAGGTAATAGCTGCATGGCAGAATTAAATCAAGTGAGTAATCCGAGAAACAGATAGGCTGCACGGGGTAGCTGGTGATGCAACCCCAACTCCAGCCAAGTATTTTTCGAATATCTTGAGATCCATCAAGAGATCGTCAGTTAGATGGTTGGAATAGAGTATATGGAGGTATGTTCGAATTCCCCTGGTAGCGATACTGTTCATTAATTTGAGAGACTAGACAGGTAGCGTGGCCACGGGCCACCCTGGGCATTTCCCCATTCGCATCAAGTTTATGATGCCACAACAGGATTCGTGGATTTAGCTACCTTGTAGTGAGAATCAGGCTAATCACAACATGAATCATGCCCGGGGGTCCTGGCAGACCAGATTCAATGCATTGGCTCCGTGGAAGCATCCTGCGCCATTGCAAGGGCTGGCCAAGCCTGACATAATGGACGCAAGTAATCTACCTTGATGAGCACCATCTTGACAAGATTTACTGTGATTAGCGCATCTCTACCATTTGATACAGCTTCATACAGACACTACATGATAGCACTAGTGCTAGTGCATACTGGGTCGTCTTAATTGAGAAGTTAGTCCGTGTGCCTGTTGGAGAGACGGATCCGAGTGGCAACTGGCGACCCGACGGATTTGTCTCTGTTGTCCAACCAGAAAATCAGTAATTCAATATCACGTGACTAACACGCACACTGCAAGCGGCCTCGGTCATTGCGTCATTGCTGAGATCCAATCAGCAGCACAGAGGAATAGAGGATGAGAGTCGAGACCCAATTAGGTATTGAAGGATTCTTTCGCCCAAGTCTCTGTTGGCTGGTTTCACAAATTCACCATCTATCAGGCTATCTCTGGATCATCTTTTCAATGGAATGGCGTTGGATGAAGCCCTACTCCGTACAAAGAACTCCTTCGACTGAGATATGCGTATACTTCTAGTGTTCTGGTCTGATAGACATCACTACTCAACTCTCAGAATTTGATTTATGCAAGATTGTGGTGTTACTTCTAGGGTGACTACGGGGGTTATCTACACACTTGTGTTGTTTGTAGAGAGGTACTTTGAAGAGTCAGGGTTGCAAAATTCCAGGTGGGGCCGGGAACCTGGCCCATGAGTGGCAGGCTGCCAGTCCATGTGGGCCCACCTGTCCCCTAGTGGCCACCCGGCTGGTCCGATACCCCAAAGGAAAATTCCTGTCGTCGTCACCGTGATCTCATCCAAGTTTTCCCTGCCCCATCTCCCCTTCTGCTCCGTGATTTTCTCTCTATGCTGCTCTTGTGTGCTGGTTCTGGCTCATTTGATATTACTCTTTTCGAGTCGTCTTTATCCCTGGATAGCAGGCACGCATTCTTTTAACCTTTCTACATATTACTCAACCAAACAGAGGAGAAAAGGAAGAAGAAAAATTAGCAGCAGTTTGCTTATCAAATTCCCCTGTTATCCAACCACGGCGTCTGGTGTGGCTCCGACGGGATTTCGTCATCCATATTGGTCAAGACATATTGCCAGGGAGTCCACAGCACCACAGGTAAGGGCGATGATTTTTGGCTGCTACCATTACTATTCAGATTAGATTTCTTGTTATTCGTTTCCTTGTAGTCTTGGAATTTTCTTTAATATTTTCTTTTACTTTTATTTTTTATTTTTCCCATTCGATTTTGTTGGTTTCTTCCATCTCTCCATACGTAGCAGATAGAAAAGGGAGCAAATCAGAGAGATCACATATTGAAACAAGAAAAGTAATAATAATATTGAAAACTTAAAGAATAATAAGCAGAAAGAAGGAGAAGAAGAGGGTTTGCTGGGATAACATAAAACTGATTCGGGGTTGCAACCTGGAAGGACAACCACAGGCTTTTGTACTCATCCAGGGTTGCATGTTTCTGGCGTGACGGGGAACTATCTACCTGATAGCAGACTAGTCGGATGCTGACTAGTCGAAACGGTTAGCTCACCACCCTCGACCGCCTCCCCTCTTCTTCCATTCTTTTCTTCCACCCCCCCCTAAAATAAAATACTCCTTGTTGGACCGGACTACGTCACAACTCTTCTTCTCCCCTTGACACCTCGAAAAGTCACTACACACTAAGTACGTGCGCTTTTTGCCCTTGGGTGTACGTATAGTACAGCACCAGGGAAAAGAGACGAGAAAAGAAGCAGAGACCAGAACAACGACAAAGCAAATTATCAACATATCCTTACTCTCAAGAACTCTTCTCTTATTCAACTATTCTATTTGATCTTCTTGTCTAAACTGGTTCATCGCAAATTTGTTCTGTGTCGCCACCACGTCCGCTCGCTTGTTTCCCGTCTTTTTTCCCTTCCCCTACTATTACTACCACTACCTTGGTCACTCTCGCGGCTCCCCTGCACTCGCATAATATATTGTTTCCTCCTCCGGGTCTATGATGTCTGCTGCTGTCGCTTCATCTGTGCCCGCAAATCTACCGCATAGTACAAACACTCGTAATTCATCGCCAATGGATTCAAAGAAGAACGCGTTGGACGCTGGAGGTGAGTTGTATATCTGTTTTTTTATGTGTTATGGATTATGAATCCTGGTACCTTTACACGAAACCTTCTCTGTCTATCCTCTGGTCTTCCCCTCCTTCTTGAAGTCTTGACTCTTTTTGGTCTGGCAGTACGCCACTTCTTCCCCAGATACTGCGATCTGTTTCCTGCCGTCGGGATGACCTCACACTTGGCGTCATCGATGGAGGGGATTTTCCTTATCAGATTCCGACCCTGTCAACCACGCGATGCAAAGAAAATACCCTTTACAACACTCACAACACGTTTGATCAAATCACCTTGTTGTCGCATCATCGTTACTCCAACCTTATTGTACTTCTACTGACCTGGGTTCTAATTGCGCATCGCAGACTCCAAGGCGCCTTCCGACACTAAGGACCAGAAGCCTGATGTCGACTCGCAAACCTCGCTGGCGCCTCCCCCGCGACCTGCTGTAACTGCTGCCACAGATACTCCAGATTACTTCAACTCGGTCCACAATCCCTTCTCTCTGGAGCCCAATCCTTTCGAACAATCATTTGGGGGTGGTTCCCAAAGCGAAACTCCGGGAAAGTCGTTACTACCCCCTGTA